GGGGGTTGTGTAGTCTTATTTATAGCTTGCACCGGGATTCTCTGTAGACAGCCTGCCCCGACCCTCACCTTTGGCGAAGGGGAGAGCGGGCCCCCCCCAATCGATTCAGCCCAGAAAAGGCGCACCAAGGGGTTTGTTTCCAGCAACAGAGCCTTTCCAAATTATGGGGGGGGGGAATCCACAGCTTTTGGTTAACTTCGATGTTCAATTTAAGATAGACTGCCCCCAAACCTGGAGGTTCTAATGAACTCTCGCCGGCCCGTTCCGGCAATGAGGCTTTCCCCCCCACACACACACGGAGTCCAGGGTTTCTCGAACAAGAAGGGAACAAAGCGTGGCCCTTCCGGCTGCGAGTGTCATCATCCCTTTCCCTTCGCCGAGGCCTGATGGGAGTTGTAGTCTGGCAGCACCCGGAGACTGGTAGCGTGGGCCTTCCTCTCCTGCTCGGGATGAAAGGCTGAGAAACAGAGCCCCAGGGCATAAGCAGAGCGTCTGTTTTTGGCCTCCAAGTGGGCTTCTAAATATCCGATGGGGTGGCTCTGCCCTGCGCCCCCCCAATGGCCACGGGCAAGCGACCCTCGGTGCCACCAGGAGGACGAACTGAGAACCGGCTCCAGGAAAGCCGGGGGGGGGAAGGTCACCGTAACTCTGAAGCCCCAGACGAGCAAATTATTATTTTCATGAAAAGGACGAGGATTAGCCTCGGAGAGGACCGTCGTCCTCATCTATGTGAACCTTCATCTAGATTATATTTCTGGTTTAATTTAAGATACAACCCTAGCTATAAACCCACCTGGGAGTAAATCCCACAGAACACAGAAGCTTTCTGATGCTCGCCCTTCGCCCCGAGGCCTCCCCCCCACCGCTCGCAGCTCAACCTCAGATCCATACTTCCCGGTTCTGAGTTCTAATTCCACAACTAAACATGAGCCAGGCCACAGGCCAGAGAAACTGACTTATTCACCCAGCGGTGGGTGAAATCAAAACAGGAGAAAAACCAATTTTTTTTAAAAAAATGTACATATTACATCTCTGGCGCTCGTTTCGAATGCCCAGCGACTAAATCGCCGCCGCGCCCCCCCCACAGAGTGCTTCTGGGCATGTGCAAAGGGCAGGCCACAAGACTTGCCTTCTAGGCAAGGCTGAAGGAAGGAAGAGGCCGATGGAGGTCCCAGGGCGAGGGTCCCATCTGCTGCACAGCTCAGTGGCTTAGGGAGCGGTTGGGGGTTCGAATCCCCACTT